GCACGGAGCAGAGGAAACGGGTGTTAGAGACACCCCAGCCCCAACAACCCGCAGAGGGATGGTAAATGAGAGGAGCCACCCCATAGCACACACAGCACACGAAAAGGCCACGACACGGATCAACACACGCTGAAATGTTCTGAAATACCCGCACGGAGCAGAGGAAACGGGTGTTAGAGACACCCCAGCCCCAACAACCCGCAGAGGGATGGTAAATGAGAGGAGCCACCCCATAGCACACACAGCACACGAAAAGGCCACGACACGGATCAACACACGCTGAAATGTTCTGAAATACCCCCTGAAACACACGCTGAAATGTTCTGAAATACCCCCTGAAACACTCCACAGTGATGATACAAACACATGAGCGCGCTCGAATGAGGGGAAAGCTGCTTTAACACCAGCGCCTTCCCTGCCCGCCCGTGCCCTGCAGGTCTGAGCATTTCTCTTTCCAAAATGCCAACCCCTGAAAGCAGGAGGGGTGAGAAGAGGCGGCAGGAACTGCAGCGGTGTCACGTATACATGTTAAATCCAAAGCCTCCCTGCAGTGTATTTTATGTGAAGGCAGTGATTGATAACCCCCGATCGTGCCTCCCTTTTCGGTCAGAGCTGCTCCCTTTTTGGTGCAGCACCGAGCCCCTGGGCTGATGCAGCACCAGGGCCAAGCCAGCACTAAGATGCTCCCGGCCACCAGACCCTGCTGTGCTCATTCCCGGGGGGGAGGCAGCAAAAGGAGTATTTCTTCCCTCAAAACCACCACCCACACCCACTCACTTCTCTCTGTTGAAGATGACAAAGTCTTGCTGGATAGCTTCAAGGCATTCTTGGAGATAGTCATTTTCCTGTTGGAGAACAACACTGCATGCATAAGCAGCTCCATTTGCATCTCATTTGTGCCTCCAGCTGCACGCACAGAGCCCCCAGTCCCAAAAAACCCAAATGGAAGAGGGGGACAACACAGCTGGCAGCCTTCGCCTGCCTCTGCCACCTGCGGCACGCGGTTTTCTGTACAACACAGAGAGCGCACAGCTTTCCAGGGGAACACAGCACGTCTGTCTGTGTGTTCTGGCCCTGGGGGTGCCCACCGCACCACAAACACCCCTGCAGACCCTGCTTTCGGCAGGACCGAGTGCCTGCTCTGCTGCACAGGGGATGGTTTGACTCCTGGGATGCGGCTGCTGTGTGAAAATGAGTGATAAAAGCACCGTGACTCCCAGAGGGAAAGGAGAAACAGATGCACCCCATCCCCAGCTCAGTTTCCCAGCTGATGGGTCCCCTCCACGGGCTCGCTTCGCCTGTGCTCACACAGAGCTCGGCCGGGTGCAGGAGCCCAGCAGAGCCACGGGGCTCCCCCAGACACACAGCTCACACGGGGAGAGGGTTTGGGTTACCCAAAAATGGGACGGACTGGCTGGGTGTTTGTGCATGGCCATGGTCAGTGCTGGGAGGAAGTACTGCTGTGTAACCCCACAGATCATATGGACATTTTGGGGTTTTCTTTTAGTTTTTCTCTTGACCAGCACGCCCAGACCTCAGTTTCTTGTTTCATTTTCCAAAGTACCAATTACTGTGAAAGAGCTTTACCAAACATACATAAGAGGAACATTTGGGTAGCAGTAAGACTCAGCTGGACAAGTGTTTGTATCAGAATAAACGTGCAGTTGCTGCGCTGCCACAGTAACCACTGCTCTGCACCCCAAACGGAGCAGCTCAGCCCTTTTCCCCAGCTGGCCGTCACCCCGGCAGCACTCACGGACTGCGAGCTGTCCTTGCTGTTATCCCTCGACTTGTTCTTCGCCAGCCTCTTCTTCTTCTTGTGCAAGGGCCTGGACTCCAGGATCATCTCCTCCAGCTCGAAGGTGGGGTCGCAGTGCAGGCGGCCCTTCTGCGGGGACACAACACGACACGGCGCTGCACTATGCACCACGGGGATACGCTCAGAAATGGCTGCAGGGTCAGAGAGCCGCTGCAGTGGCTCCTCTCACGCCATGGGTGCAGTTGCTGCCACTCACATTGGGGACGAAGCCCGGCTCCACGCGCTTCGCGCCGACGTCGCCCCACACCACACCAGAAAGGTACGCCGAGGCCTGGACGTCGGCCAGGCTGGAAAAGCGGTGCTCGGGGTTCACCGTCAGCAGCTGAGGAGACAGGAGAAGGGAAGGATCGGGGATCATCCTGATTTTGGGGTGCTCCGAGAGTCCACCCTCGCAGCGTCCGCTGCCTCCCAAGCACAGCCCAGCAGATGGCAATGCGAGCTGCCGAACACTGCGCGCAGCCACAGCGCCGCGTCTCATCGGGACTAAATCTCGTTATGCAAATTGTCCACCCGATGTTAACGTCCATCCCAGTCACACAGAATCACAGAATCACTCGGTTGGAAAAGCCCTCTGAGATCATCCCGTCCAACCGCTCCTGTCTACCCACTAAACCATATCCCTAAGTACCTCGTCTACCCGCTCTTTAAACACATCCAGGGATGGTGACTCCACCACCTCCCTGGGCAGCCTGGTCCAGCTTCTGACGACCCTCTCAGGAAAGAACTTCCTCATTATCTCTAACCTCAACCTCCCTTGGCACAGCTTGGTGCCGTTTCCCCTTGTTCTATCCCCCATCACCTGGGAGAAGAGCCCAGCACCCACCTCTCCACAACCTCCCTTGAGGCAGTTGGAGGGGGTGATGAGGTCTCCCCTCAGCCTTCTCTTCTCCAGGCTAAACAAGCCCAGTTCCCTCAGCCGCTCCTCATCAGGCTTGTTCTCCAGAGCCCTCCCCATCCTTGTGGCTCTTCTCTGAACACGCTCCAGAATCTCAACATCCTTCTTCTAGTGAGGGGCCCAGAACTGAACACAGCACTCGAGGTGCGGCCTCACCAGTGCCGAGTACAGGGGGATGATCACCTCCTGGACCTGCTGGTCACTCTGTTTTTAATACAGGCCAAGATGCCGTTGGCTTTTCTGGCCACGTGGGCACAGTGCTGGCTCATGTGAAGCCGACTGTCAACCAACACCCCCAGTCACTCCTCTGCCATCAGCGCCCTGTACGTCTGTTTTATAGCACGCCCATGAGCCACTTTTCTGAGCTCTCAGCAAGCTAAAGCTGCACGCAGGTACGGAAACACCCCAGAGCCAATCACACTGCATCAGCTCCTGCGGCTGAGCACAGAATCATTAAACCACTAAAATAATTAGGGACTGGTTTTTATGAAGAGCCCTCTAAGATCATCCTGTCCAACCCCACCATGCCCACTGAACCACAGCCCTGGTCGCAGAGGGGATGTGGGAAGGGCACGGTTCTCACCCAGGCAGGGATTTTATCACCACGCCAAACCCAGTCCTTTTCCTTCCCTTGCTGTCAAACGTAATGCACCTCATTACAGGGATAATGAACAACAAAACACAGCATCCAGCCGTGCTTGAGCCTGGACAAAGTCATCAAAATCAGCCCTATTGCAACTCCACATTATCTGTTAATGCTGATGTTTTCCCAGCTTGTCCTGCACACATTGCTGCCAATGCCCAGGGTAAAGCAGATCAGCAGGACTCCTCACCTTTCTCAACAGGGCAACCATCTCTTTGGACCAGGCAGAGGAGTACTGCACACTGACGGTGCTGAAGAGCTGAACCAGGGACTCCACGGGGTTGCTGGAGTGGATGTCATACGGCCGCTGCGGAAAGAGCAGAGCGGTGAGAACAAACTCCCTCCCGTTGCCGCACCCGTCATCCCATCCCCAATCCCCGGCCGTGCCCTACCCAGCCCCGCAGCAGCTCATAGGCCATGACGCCCAGTGACCACCAGTCCACCTCGAAGGAGTAGCCCGTCCCGCCGCTCAGGAACGAGTGGAAAATCTCTGGGGCTGAGAGGGCAAAACACAACAGGTTATTGACCAAGTGCTTTTAACGTCAGTACTTCGTGTACATCAGTAAGCTTTGTGGTTGCTTCTATGGACTACGGCTTTGCAAGCAGCGTCAGGCTGGGTTATGGGGCATGCACGGGGAAACCAAGGGACGGCAGAAACCCCGCAGCCACAGGGATGCAGCAAATCCCACCCCAGGGGAGGCAGGGCATGATGGAGACGGCACCAGCACCGACTCATTCACTCTGGGAGTTTCCCTCCCCAACCCATCAGGCTCCGCTGAACGCCTCGGGCGCACGCATTAACGAGCTGAATTAATTGGGCGGCTCTGCGGCAGCCAGGGAGCACCAGGCAGCGCGCGGCGAGCGCTCCCGAAATGCAGAACACGGGCGCGAGGAGCAGACGCGGCTTCTTACCCATGTATGGCTTTGTTCCAGCCAGCGCGGTTGCTCTTTCACCATCCCTAATTATTGTTGCAATATTAAAATCTGTTAAATGTGCGTGACCTTAAACAAAGACACATTTTAAGAAGGAATTAATCACAGCGCAGAACAGGGGCGACGCAGCCAGAGCACATTTGTTCACGAGCTCCTGCCCTCAGACGGGTGCAGGGCAGGGTCAGAGCCCACCAAACGGCCCTAACAGACCCTAAAGCTTTCCCAGCCGAGTAAATGGCCCCTAAATTTGGGTCTTGACTTTACATTGCCCTCGGAGCCCACCAGTAACCTACACCAGCTCCAGCACTGGGCCAAACCGCTCTGCTCAGAGCCTACAGCCAGCGAGAAGACAACAGGGAAATGCTGCAGCATTGCCTTGGTCGCACTGATTAAACCCAAGAACCGTTTTTGGTAAAAGCCACTGAACCATGGCTACCCCAGAGTTCAAGGACCCCACTGCTCCCCTGTACTAAGCCTGCACAAAGAAATCATTAAGATACCACAAAAAGTGCCAGAACACCTCCTCTCCGTTCCCACTTCCTCCATCATCAGGACCGAGAGTTAAAACCCAGAAAATGCCATTATTTTCAGGTCCTCCCCTCCAGCTTCTCTGTCCCCACTGTGTTTGGGCTTCCCCCCAGCACTATTTTCTACTGAAGCCCCATGCAAGCACACGCTTTGGTTTTGATGAGGCTTTATGATAAAATTAATGAGTTTAAAGCCTGAGAGATCGTGTCTTTGTTTTGTAATGTCTGCGGCTGGAATAGAGGTCAATACAGGATCACTGAGTCATTAAGGGTGGAAAAGCCCTCTAAGATCATCAAGTCCATCAACCCAACCCCACCATGGCCACTAAACCACGTCCCCACTTCACTGGGACAGCAGTGAGAGGAGACAGAATGAGGGCAAAGCAAGGGGGCAATGAGGAGAGGGGCTGCCCCCAGCATTACAATGCAGGGGTACGTCCGACCGAACACCCATCAGTGAGAAGTGCTGCCTTCCCCACGCTTTTCCCGAATAAAAACACTGCAGAGCATTCAAGGCTGCAAAGAGCCTGGCCCTGGAATGATGTGGGTATGGAAAGCAAGGCAGAGAGCCCCTACCTTGCTCATCCAGGAGGATGTTGTCTGGCTTCACGTCCCTGGGAAAAGAAGCAAGATGAAACCCTGCTCACACCAAGGATGCAACCCAACAACAAAAAAACCCTGCAACTGTTTTATCTATCAAAAATCAGAAACAAATAAAAGAGAAATACCCCAAGATGAGACAAACACCTTTATGTTCCCCGACACCGGGGCAGTGGTGCTTTGAGACAGCGACAGCACCACCAGGCGCATCCCAGTCCACGTTACCTGTGGATGATGTGCTGGCTGTGCTA